AGACACAGTGTAACTTTAAACCAATAATAATCAGAAGATACAAAGATGGTCATTACATACTTGTTAGGGGAAAACTTCAAGACGAAGAGATAAATATTAAATTTATATGCACCAAATTCCAAAGCACCCAGTTTTATAAAACAAGTATTAACAGAAATGAAAAATCAAATTATCAGTAACACAATTTTAATAGGAGGCCTTAACACACCATTGACACCAAAGGACAGATCAACCAGACAGTAAATCAGCAAAGAAATAAGCAAACTAAATCACTCAAGTGAAAAAATGGACTTGATAGATATATACAGAGTGTTCTGTTCAACAACATCAGAATACAAATTCTTCTCAGCAGCACATGGGTCATTCTCTATAATAGACCATATATTAGCTCACAGAACATATTTAAATCAATGCAAACAGTTGAAGTTATCCCTTGCATGTTATCAGATCATACCACTTTGAAATGAGAAATTAATGATAAAAAATACTGCAAAAATCCCACAAATATATGGAAACTGAATAACACACTCTTGAATAATCAGTGGGTCACAAGGTAAATTAAAGAAGAAATTAAACAATACATACAAGAAAATGAAAATACAAATGCAACATACCAGAACCTGTGGGATGCTATGAAAGCCATTCTCAGAGGAAAATTTATTGCACTGAGTTCCCACATCAGGAAAACAGAATGAATACAAATAAATAACCTGATACTACACCTCAAACAGCTAGAAAAAGAAGAGCAAGTCAAGACAAAAATCAAAAGAGGCGAGGAATTTATAAACCTCAGAGAAGAAATCAATGCAATAGAGACTAAGAAAACAACCCAAAGAATCTATAAATAAAAGAGTTGGTTCTTTGAAAGAATAAATACAATTTATAAGAGCCTGGCCAACCTTATATTAAAAAGGGAAGAAGAAGCTCAATTTAATACAATAAGAAATGAAAAAAAGTGAAATCTCTACAGACTATAAAAAAACAGAAGATTATCAACACCGATTTTGAAAACCTTTTCTCTCAAAGGTTTGATAACACAGAAGAAATAGACACAGTCCTAGAAATATATGAAGTACAAAAGCTACGTCAAGAAGATATAAAACTGCTGAAAACCCAATTATTATTAATGAAATTGAAAATGTAATTAAATCCCTACCTACAAAGAGGAGCCCAGGGCCAGATGGATTCACTTCAGAATTCTACAAGAAATACAAAGAAGACCTAATGCCTCAAACTCTTCAATGAAATTGAAAGGGAAGCAATCCTTCCTAAGACATTCTTGGAGGCAAATATTACTCTAGTACCAAAACATGAGAAAGACCCAACTAAAAAAGAGAACTATAGACCAATCTCCATAATGAACACAGATGTAAAAATCCTCAATAAAATATTGGCAAATAGGATGCAGCAAATCATCGAGAAGATGTTACACCATCACCAAATGGGATTCATCCCAGGCATACAAGGATGGTTCAACATACATAAATTAATAAATGTAATGCACCATATCAATAAAGCCAAATTTAAGAAACAAAAGATCATTTCTATAGATGCAGAAAAAGCTTTTGATACAGTCCAACATTCATTCATGATAAGAACCTTACAGAAAATTGGAATAGATGGTCTTTTTCTCAATATAATAAAGGCAATCTATGACAAACCAACAGCCCGTATCATACTAAATGGCAAAAAATTGAAGGCCTTTAGTTTAAAATCAGGCACAAGACAAGCATGTCCTTTATCACCACTCCTATTTAATATAGTACTGGAAATACCAGGCAGAACAATTAGACAAGAGAAAAAAATAAAAGGCATAAAGATAGGAAAAGAAGAAGTTAAATTATCATTATTTGCAGATGACATGATACTCTATGTAGAAGATTCCCAAAACTCCATTGAAAGACTCCTAGATATAATACATAAATTCAGTAATGTAGCTGGATACAGAATCAATACTCAAAAATCAATAGCATTCCTATGCTCTAACAACAAACTCACAGAGAGAGAAATAAGAGAGGTCACACCCTTCACACTAGCAACCAAAAAAATGAAATATTTAGGAAATACTCTCATGAAAGAAGTGAAAGACCTATACAGGTAAAATTATAACATACTGAAAGAAGAGATTGAAGATGATCTCTGAAAATGGAAAGACATCAATTGCTCAGGCATAGGAAGAATAAATGTTGTGAAAATGGCCATTCTTCCAAAACTTTTATACAGATTCAATGCAATCCCGTTAAAAATACCATCAATATACCTCGTAGAACTTGAGTAATCTCCCCTAAAATTCATCTGGAATGAGGACAAACCTAGAATAGCAGGGACAGTTAAAAGTATCAAAGGCAAGGCAGGAGGTATCACAATCCCTGACTTGAAGTTATACTACAAAGCACCTGAAATATAATCAACATGGTACTGGAACCAAAACAGAACCAAAGATCAGTGGAATATATTAGAAGATACAACCACAACTACCAACACACTCAACCACCTTATCTTTGATAAAGGCGCCAAACATGTTCACTGTAAGAACGACAGTCTCTTTAATAAATGATGGTGAAAAACTGGCTCTCCATATGCAGAAAACTAAAACTAGACCCATGCCTATCAACATGTACTAAAATAAAATCTAAATGGATCAAAGATCTAAATATTAAAACAGAAACACTAAATCTATTGGAAGACAAATTGAGTAAAAACCTTGAAGACATAGGAGTAGGTAGAGAATTCATGAACAGGACTCAAACTTCATGGGAAATACTTCCCAGAGTCAATAATTGGTATGGTCTCTTATTAAAAAATTTCTGCATGTCAAAAGAAATCTCCAACATAGTGTAAAGAAAACCCAAAACCTGGGGAAAAAAATCTTAATTAACTGCCCTTCAGACAAAGGACTTCTGTCTAAAACATATAAAGAATTAAAAGAAAATCACACCCCCAATATTGAAAGACCCAATCTAAAAATGGGCATCTGAGATGAATAAACAATTTTCAGATGAAGAAATATAAATGGCAAATAAATACATGAAAAAATGTTCCCCATCAATGTTCATTAGAGAAATTTAAATTAAAACCACACTGAGATTTCATCTAACTCCTGAAAGAATGCCCAAGATCAAGAAAACCAACAACAACAAATGCTGGAGAGGCTGTGGGGAAAAAGGAACTCTCCTGCACTGTTGGTGGGAGTCTAGACTAGTGCAACTGTTGTGGAGGTCAGTCTGGCGATTTCTCAGAAAGCTGGGTCTGGAAGCACCTTTTGACCCAGCTATTCAATTTCTAGGCATATTCCCAGAAGAACTGAAAGCATCATACCACAGTGATATATGTGCACCCGTGTTTATAACAGCACAATTTGTAATAGCCAGATCTTGCAAACAACCTAAGTGTCCATCACCTAAAGAATGGATAAAAAAGTTGTATTTTTATACAATGGAGTACTACTCAGCTATAAAGAATGATCACATTGAGATATAAATAAATGGACGCAGCTTGAGACCATACTGATGAGTGAAATAAATCAAACTCACATGTATAAATACTAAATATTTTCCCTAGTGTAAGAAATGATAAGAATACATAGAAGTACATGGTAATCATGATTCCCAATCATATTGGTTTAAATCCATATGTTTTTACTCAATATGAGCAATGGTTTTAACCTGGGTTATTTGATTTTAGTATTGGTGATAGTATGAATAGCTATTCTGAACAAAACAACACATCATAAAAGCTAGTGCTGATTCAATATCATCTTGTTTTGAAATCTCATCAAGCTATTGTACATCTGTTTCCACTGGTTTTAACATGTTGTATCTTACAATATTTTACTATATGCAATAGTATAAACAAAATTTTTATAGGCAAAGAGATAATATAGAAACTATTTTTCATTTTGTGTTAACTGCTTTTAAATACAATGTAATTGTTTCCTTCTCTTGAATGTCTTCATACTGTCTTGATATACCTGATGCTATAGTATACAAAGTTATACTCAAATAATTCAAGGAAAGAGGCACTATGGTGACTATTATCATGTTAGATTATCTGTGGGTGAAACACAATGATGCTTAAATTGTTCAGTTGTGATCTGTGTTGTTCTATTATAATGTCCTCTTTTATATCAATCTCCACCCTTTATAAAAATTAATCTATTTTTTTCAATTAAGGGAAAACTAAATTAAAAAATAGTGGGAGATACTATAGTAACTATTTGTTTTCCTGTTAACTTGATTTGAACCCCAGTATTGCTCTCCCCATCTTGTTCTGTCTGATTTTACTATATTTTATTTTGTTAGATAGTATCAAGTTTGAGGGAATAGGCAACCACTTTGAAGGCAATAAGATTTACTATAATGCCCATTATGGTTTGACTATTATCTTCTTTTGAAAACATGTAATGTTTCCAGTGTAGGTTTTATTGGTCTTGTTCTGTACTGTTTTGATCAATTCTATTAAACCTAATGATATAGGCAACTCTATTTAAAAATAGCAAGAGGCACAATGGTAACCATTTTTGATCACCTGATATTCTATTTTTGCATCATGTACTATGCCCCTCCTTCTGTTCTAACTGACTCTGTTTTGTTTAGTCATGTTATGTTTTATTCTCTTCAAAACAAAGTAATATGAATGGTGGAAATAAAAATACCCAAAAAGTGTAATTGTTATTGTAAAAAAAGAGAGGAAAGGAAGGTGGTCTAAGGGATATACCTGCATGTTTGAGTGTTTAGGATGGAAAGCCATATTTCTGAGCTTTTGTTGGATCATTGAATGGAACTGTCTGCAGTCTCACTGTATGAATGTGCACTTTTTATGCTTTAATTTTATAATTTGAACAACTGTTTCTAAGATGACAATATGTAACCTACTAACTAGGGATTTCTTACTGTATTTTTTTCTTCAAATTCTGCATTATTTGTACCCTTCTACTGCTTTGTTTTTTTTTTTTATTTCCTTTCTTTTCTCTTTAAATAAAGAAATAATCAAACCTGGAATGGATAACTTTTATTTCTTTATTTTTTTTTTTTGTTACTGGAGATCAAACTCATGACCTCACACTTGCCAGGCAGGTGCTTAAGCCACTGAGCTAAATCCCCAGCCCCCCAATGTATATCTTTTACATCTGGTCATCTTCAGAGTAGTTACCTCTATTCATGGACTTGATACCAGCAAGCATACCAACTGGGAATAAAATCAGTTAAGGCCAAATAGTACTCAAAGAAACCAGCTTCAAAGAAGATCAGTCATAGAAGACAATGTAAGTAATACAGGGTTTCAGTTTAAGTTAATAGGAAATTAAGGATAGTTACCATGGTATAACCTGCTGTTTTTGGGTTATCTCTCTGTGCCCTCAAATCTAATATGAGTAGACAGACCAGAACAAAATATAATCAAACTAAACAGAGCAATAAGACTACCGTAGCTTTTAAATCCTGATACACTTTTAACAATGTCCTCTGCCTTGTTTTTTTAGGCAATTCCTCACATTTTTCCTTCACAGGATACTATTATTCATTGTTCAGAGTGACATTAGTCTAATCTGTTATGTTCAATTTCAGCATACATAAAGATAAAGACAGCTAGTATGAAGAGAATGAGAGACATTATTGTAGTCATTATCGACTTCCTCAAAATCAGTCTTGAAGATCGAAAAATCCTGCATCATCCCACAATTATTTGATTAGTTCCATAATGTTCAGTATTTGTTCAATGCATGTGAAGATGGAAACAACTATTTGGAAGAAAACTAGAGACAGTAAGATAGACAGTGAACATCTCCAGTGGACTTGCTTTGAAATCTGTGTTCCCTTAACTTGTTTTCTTATGAACTGTTCTGTTCTGCTTTGTCATGTTTAGTCTTATGCTCTTTAAGAAAAAAAAAAAAGTGTGTAGGACAGATAAGCATACTAAGAAATTTTTGTTGGAACACTGAGGTGAAATGTTCACAGTGTTGTTATTTGAATATCACTTTGTATGCTTTAATTTTATAACTTGAACAACTACTTCTAAGATGACAATATGTAACTAATGAACTAGTGATTTCTTATTGTTTATTTTTCTGAAATTCTGTATTATTTCTCTTTTTTCTGTTTTGTTCTGTTTAAATAAACATTATAATTCACCAAAAATATAAAAATTAGGTTTTAAAGACAAAATGTTAAGTACATATACCCTATCCATACTTGAAATTGAAAAGCCCACTTCAGATTACCATGTTTAATTACAAGATGCCATGTTGAAGCACAAAGACACTCTAAAAAATCTAAATTGGTACAAGTGATTAACTGAAAACCATACAACATGTGCACTTGAGTAGAGCTCCACCTCAGATTTGTCATTTCTGAAAAATTTGTCAAGAAATATTGACATCAAACTTCTGCATTGGTTAATTCTTTAGGTCCCCTTGGGATTTTTAAAGTAAACTTAGATCTAAACTGTCTGAACAGTGATGCTTTTTCTATGTGTTTAACAACAAACATGTATTGTTGTACTTCTCACATTGTTAATCTACATAAGATCTCTGCCCAGTGAGCTCTTTCAGATATGTAACAATGATCATGAGTGCTAAGAGTATTCCCATAACACATAGGATTTATTTCTTGTGTGAGTTTCTTCACGTATTTCACTTACAATCTGGTTGCTAAAAGTGTCTCCACTTGTTTACATAGCCAGTGGCTATTCCCAGTGTGAATTCTTTCATGTGTTTTGAAATGACTTTATGAGGTAAAAGCTTTGCCACATTGTTATATACATAGGGTTTCTCACCTGTGTGAAGTCATTGATGTATTTTACAATATCCATGTGTGGTGAAAGCTTCACACATTCTTCACATACACAGGGTTTCTCAACAGGTCAAATTTTTTCAAGTATTGGACAATGAGAGTTTCTGCTGAAATCTTTCCCACATTCCTTCCATATACAAGTTTTCTGCCCTGTGTGAAGATTTTCATACATTATGCAATATGTACATGTGCGCAAACCATTCTCATGATGCTTATATATACTGGTTTAATTTTGAGTGTGAACTTTCATGTGTCTTACAATTTCCATGTTGGGAAAAAGCTTTCCCACATTGGTTACATACATAGGGTTTCTCTCCAGTGTGAATTCTTTCATGTTGCTTACAATGTCCAGAGTTGGTGAAACCTTTTCCACATTGCTGACATACATAGGGTTTCTCTCCAGTGTGAATTCTTTCATGTTTCTTATAATCTCCCCATGTCTTAAAAGCTTTCCCACATTGCTTACATCCATAGGGTCTCTCTCCAGTGTGAATTTTTTCATGTTCCTTACAATATGCACGTGTGATAAAAGCTTTCCCACATTGCTTACATATATATGGTTTCTCTCCAGTGTGAATTCTTTCATGAATCTTACAGTATGCTCGTGTGTTAAAAGCTTTCCCACACTGCTTACATACATATGGTTTCTCTCCAGTGTGAATTCTTTCATGTTTCTTACAATGATCAGATTTGGTGAAACCTTTTCCACATTGCTGACATACATAGGGTTTCTCTCCAGTGTGAATTCTTTCATGTTGCTTACAATGTCCAGAGTTGGTGAAATCTTTTCCACATTGCTGACATATATAGGGTTTCTCTCCAGTGTGAATTCTTTCATGTTGCTTACAATGTCCAGAGTTGGTGAAACCTTTTCCACATTGCTGACATACATAGGGTTTCTCTCCAGTGTGAATTCTTTCATGTTTCTTATAATCTCCCCATGTCTTAAAAGCTTTCCCACATTGTTTACATCCATAGGGTTTCTCTCCAGTGTGAATTTTTTCATGTTCCTTACAATATGCACGTGTGATAAAAGCTTTCCCACATTGCTTACATATATATGGTTTCTCTCCAGTGTGAATTCTTTCATGAATCTTACAGTATGCTCGTGTGTTAAAAGCTTTCCCACATTGCTTACATACATACGGTTTCTCTCCAGTGTGAATACTTTCATGTTTCTTACAATGATCAGATTTGGTGAAACCTTTTCCACATTGCTGACATACATAGGGTTTCTCTCCAGTGTGAATTCTTTCATGAATCTTACAGTATGATCGAGTGTTAAAAGCTTTCCCACATAGCTTACATACATATGGTTTCTCTCCAGTGTGAATTCTTTCATGTTGTTTACAATGACTAGATTTGGTGAAACCTTTTCCACATTTCTGACATACATAGGGTTTCTTTCCAGTGTGAATTCTTTCATGAACCTTATAACTTGCACGTGTGTTAAAAGCTTTCCCACATTGTTTACATAAATATGGTTTCTCTCCAGTGTGAATTCTTTCATGTTGCTTACAATATCTAGTTTGGGTGAAACCTTTTCCACATTGCTTACACACATAGGGTTTCTCTCCAGTGTGAACATTTTCATGTATTTGATAATGAATGTTACTGCTAAAAGCTTTCCCACATTTTTTACATATATATGATTTCTGCCCAGTGTGAAGTTTTTCATGGATTACACAAGAAGTACGTGTGCTGAAAGCTTCCTCACAGTGCTTACATTTATAAGGTTTTTCTCTGGAGTGAAGACTTTCATGTACTTGACAATAGGTACATTTTGTAAAAGCTTTCCCACACTGCTTACATATGTAGAGTCTCTCTCCTCTGTGAATACTTTCATGTTTCTTACAAATTCCATGTGTGGTAAAACCTTTCCCGCATTGCTTGCATACATAGGGTTTCCCTCCACTGCAATATTTTTCATGGATCTGAACATTGTGGTGTGTTTTTGTTTCTTTCATGTCCACATTACCTCCTGCAGTACAAAGAAATACTTCTTTACACTGATTCCAAGATGTATATCCATAGGATTTCCCGAGCTTGTCATTTCTGTAAAAAAAAAAAAAATCACATATAGGATTGATAATCGTATTACTAAGTTTTTGTTGGACAGTTGAACAAAACTGTTTGCAGTCTTGTTTCAATCCCCACTTCATATATTTCACTTTTGTATCTTAACTATTTCTATGAGCACCATATGTAATCATCATCTTGTGATTTCTTACTGTTTATTTTCACTTTGAAATAGTATTATTTCTACTTGTTTTGTTTAGTCTTTCCTTACATGAAATTAAAAAAAAAAGAAAAATTCACAGTGAGATTGGTCTCGGTTTAATGACTGCATTAATGTTAAGTTGTGTTTTTAATGCCTGCTAAGAAATTCTGACCATGAAGCAACAGAATGGCCTTGTAAAATATGTTGAAAACAACCATTCCCAAAAGACTGGTACACCTCTGGAAATCTTAAAATTTGGTACCTTTTGAAAAGCAGTATATTTAGCTTCACTTTGGGCATGAGTACATATGTGTATCACAGACAGATAACTTGATATGTTTCCCCATCAAAATCTCCCTTCTGTCCTTAACCTATGGTTCTCTTTTCCAAATAGTCAGTCTTACCTTTCTCTATCAACTCACTGTCATTTCATTCCACTTTATATTTTGGTTTCTCATCTAAAAGAAACCTTGTAAATTTTTGGTTTCATAGCTGAGCTATTTCATTGAATTGAGAAAGACCCATCTATTTCTTATGGCAAATGACATTATACTATTTATTTTTTGATGCTATATTACACAATTTTTTCTTTTCCATGCTAGGAATGAACAACAGATATTAGCATAAAATCTATAGCTTTTTTCTTATCTATTTTAAGAGATTTTCACTGTTCATTAAGCTGTGAAGTTTGAACTTAAATTTGCCATTCTGCAAAATCTGACTCTTAGTGTGCTGGGTTTACAAGAATGCACAATCACAGAGAGTCTATTAACATTTTCCTTCTTCACGAATCCAGTGACAGATAGCTAATATTCTTGAAGGCGTGATCTGTTATAACTTGATCTGCTTTGTATATGAGTAAACATGTATCAGTATTTTATGTGGATTTTGAGTTTTTAAAATTATAACAAGGACAAGTATGAGGGGATCAATTTCTAGAGACAACTGCATACTGATATTCAGAATGAGTGCCTACCAGCCTACTAAGAATTTTAATGAGAATAGCTGATTCTCTAGAGCATGGTTTGGAAACATGAGCACTCAGTTTTATTTCAAATCCCATTGCAATCTTAGCAATTTTTAGTTAATGAATGTGTTGTATTCACATGTATATATGGGTAGAAAAACTGTAGGCAGAATGTCATAACTCAAAGTGTATGCCTTTCGTACACCTCTATATGCAATGTGATACATTTTCATGATTTAATTCACTCATTTAACACACCCTAGCTTATACATCTTTGGAGAATATTACTGACATTAAAATGAATGGTACCTCATTTCTTTTTTTTTTTTCATCTTTTTCTTTTTTATTGGTACCTGTGATCGTACTCATGACTGCCTTCTTGCAAGGCAGGTGCTTATGCCGCTGAGCTAAATTCCCAGCCTCCCGTGCCTCATTTGTTTGGTAGTCAATTTTCTGCTGATTCACTAATTAGTCAGGAACATTACTTTTCCTTTTAAGTGAAAATTACCTTAAATATCTCCAGTAAATTTTGCATTCTTTTTCAGCTTCCTGGATATCCCCAAGTCCTCCTGAATTGTAGACATAGAAATACCAAGACTCATTACAGTAATACATACAAATTAAGAGATTTTGTTTAGATTTATGATATAATGTGTTCAGGTCTGAGCTATTTTTAAGAACATTCTCACATTCTTTTTAATCAAACAGGACTGATGAGCACTAAACAATATTCTGACAGCATGAGTAACAAAGAGAATTCATCCTTACCTATTGCAGCCATGTTCCTAAAGGTTTCACCCATCACATCTCTGTAGAGGTTCTTTTGGGATGGACTCAGCAAAGTCCACTCTTCATTGCTGAAGTTCACAACCACATCCTCAAAGGTCACCGCCTCCTAAGGATCATACATATATTTCTCAAAGGAAGGTTCAAACCTCAGGTTTGGGATATCTTAAATTCTCTCCTACAATTCTGAATCAAAAGCAAAGTGTGGTGGTGCATATCTATAATCCCAGCACTCAAAAGGCTGAGACAGAATGGCTTCGGTGAGTTCAGGGAAATTCTAGGCTCCATAGGATGTTCAAATCCAGCTGATATACATACAGAAAGCTTGTCTCAATAAAACAAAACTAAACTAAACAAATAAAACCAAACAAAACAGCTGAAAGAAGACTGATGTCTTCAAATTTAAATCCATGTCTTTGTCATTAATTTTGTGTATATACACATTTTTGGAGACAGCAAATTTGATGCTAGATTGTAACTCATTGCTAATGTAACAGCAAAATAGGTGCACAGATTCTTTTGCTGAGTCTCTGCAAGATTCCCTATGTACTGTCTCTAAAGCAGAGCTCACAGTGAGAAGCCTGCACAACCAGCATCCACATAGAACAGAGGCAGATAAATATCTCATCAATCAACTGGGAAGCCAAGCAAGCACCTCCCTTCCCTGGTAAGTGGTGGCAGTGTGGCAGACTGTAGCCCCTATAGGGGGCGAACAAACAGCAGATTCCTGAGATCCAAACCATGCTGGAATTTAGGACAATGGGACACCAAGCAAGCATGTCCACTCACTGGTAATTGGTGGCAGTCTGGCAGACTGCAGCCCTTCCAAGGGGAGAACCAAGAGCAGCTCCTGTGATCCATGCCATGTTGGAACTTAGGACGCTTTTAAACCAAATAACCAGCGTGTCTCCCTACTAGCAATAGCATGGCTTAGAATGAAACATCCCACTTCCCCTACCCCTCTTCTCCTGTCTCCCCCCATTAGCAAATGGGAACTAGAATTCTGAGCATATCCTGGGAATCTGAACATAGCAAACTAGGGGGACTTCTTTCTACTACCTCTTTGAAGGCAAATATTTTTAATACTGTTTTGCTCTATTTTGATTAATGATAATGCTTTATTCAATATTCTGTTTTGATAAGTTCTATAATGTTCTGTATTTCATCTCATTTTGATATACATGATAAAAACTATTATAAAGATAATGAAATATACTGTGATACAATTACTTTTATCCCAGTAACCTGTTGTGAAGTTGTGTACCAGTTTAACTGTGCGATCTTAGTTGGCCTTATTCTGCCTTGTTCTGTTGTATTTTACAACCTTCAAATTTAAAGGAAAAAATAATATCTCATCAATCACGTTGATAGACTACAGATGACAAAATGCTTAAGCAGCATTTTGAAATATGAATTAGGTTGCATAGAACAAAACATAAATAACATCAAATATGGTACATAAATAATAACTCAAATGTTAGTGGAAAACTGCTGTATTTAAAAAATATGTATATAAAATGAAACAAGGCCCAGGCTGTAAATTATATATCATTCTCACCAGGTGATCACATTAAATTCAGATATAAGAAATATATATTGGGAGGCTGGTGAAAGAGTTTTTCCTTGAATTTGGGGCTATCCTAAGTTGCAGAGATGTCTAAAATAGAGAAACCCTGACTCAGACACCCCACAGACAAAGGGAAACTTAAAAAGAGACTGTGTAAGACACTTTGGTTTGTTTTAAAAAATTATAGGCATACAATACAGAAAAATTCCAACAATATTAAACACTTTCTGAGAAACAAAGTGGATATCTCCCATACTACACAGAAAACACTTTTATAGTTGGTTATTTAGCTCAGTGACATGACCGCCTGCCTGGAAAGCATAGGTCATGATTTCGATCCTTTGTATAAAAAAATTCAAATTTTAGCTTCATGACACTGGGGCATAATTAGAGATAATCAAAATTAGATCTCAAGTATGGAACACAAAAATCATGGGTTGACAGGGATGTGGAATACTGATTGTTACCAGAGCTGATGTTGATCACCTCAAGGAAGCAATCAGAACCCAACTTTAACTTCATTCTTACTCTAAGAACTACCTGACTTTCAATGAATACCCTCTCTGTTTTATGTCCTGCTATTGGCTGTCTGCATTCTGTCAGTGACTTCCACATGGTTTCCACACTACTCTGACCCATCCCAAGCAGAAAACCCTTCATGCCTAACTATTAACATTGTAAGATCACCGTTGTGAAGAAGACCCCAAGGAACCAGGTCTCATGAAAAATCAAGGGCTTTTATTATCCGTGCATGCGAGGGACTCTCTGACCGCACTCTAGGGGGGAGAGGGGAGAGAGTGCCCGGGTAGGGGAGTGCAGAGTATATAAAGCTGAAAACTGAAAAGCAAGCATTGGTTACAGAAGCAGATGACATTGGTTAATAGGGGTCAGGTCATTTGCTTATTGGTGGGTGAGCTATCCACTGCAGGGGGCTTGATGTTTTGAAAACTCATATCCCGTCTGGCAGGGTCAATAGTTCACGGTGCTCTTATTTTTGGGGACGTTGGACCACAACTTCCCTATCAGGCCAGAACATCTGGTTGTTCTGACCGTGTGACAAGCAAGAGGGGGTTTCCTAAATGTTTTACCCTTCATTCCCCCCTTTTCTTGTGAGTATCTCTAATCCTAGAGATTATTAGTAGGTTTTGGATTATATTGGTATCTCAAGACCATCATCTTTTCCTTGGAGACCTGTGATCACACCAGATGTGTAATCTTGTTTAGAACGCAATGACCAATGGTAAGGAGTAAGAGCAAAGCAGCTAAAGGGCCTAGGATGGGGACCACATAAGGAGCTAGCCCTTGCCATAGGGAAGAGAAGGATGTTCCCGAAGAGTATTTTTTTTCTAGTTTTGATATTTTCTCTGAGTTTGGACATGCCATCTTTTATTATGCCTGAATAAACATAAAAACATAACTCTGCACTAAAAACAGCACTTTTTTTTTTAGAGCGGCACATAGGCTGCCCTCCTCTAGGAGTATTAGGTCTAGTCCCTTTCTGTTTTGGAGAACTACTTCAGCCAACAAGTCTATTTGGTCTTGAATGACCTGAATGGTACTAGATAATGCCTGCACATCATTAACAATCTGGTTGGAAGGTTGGACAGAAACCCCTACTCCTGCTGGCCCCATACCTCAGGCTCCTGACTATCTCTAGGCCTACCAATAAGGAATAAATTGAATTGCCCTCTCTGAGTGGCCTGTGATGTAATCTAAACTAGGAATGGGGATGGGCTCATCCACGGGTAGGATCTCTATATCAGGCAACAGGACAGCTGTTATATATATCCCTGTCCAGTTAGTTGGAGGAAGGTATAGGCCATAATTCCTCCACAAATAAATACTTGTCCTTTGGCAAGATAAAAGAGGTAGTCCGGTTAACTACGGAACTACAATCAGTAAATGTAACGGACTCCACGTCAATGTTGGAGGTATCCTTATGAAAACCTTGAAGACAGAAAGAGTCTTTGAAGCCTACTGGTTGTACTCTAAAGGGGGGACCAGCACTACAATTTAAGAAATCTTGTTTCCCCAGTGTAGCCAGAGAAACACTGCTGGGGATGGCAAGGGAGATGGGGAGCCCTGTGCCATGCATAACCAGCAATTCTTCAGCCAAAGTTGGGTTGGAAACATTTAAGGTTTTATGATTGGCCTCTAGAATATCATAAGTTAGAGCATCTAGACCAACTCCCTGTGATTTAGGCAGCTTCTTTTTATTAGCAGCTTGACTCGTTCCTCAACCACCAGAGTTTTCTGATCTTACCTTGCAGCCCACCCCTATCAGACACATGTATAAGGCCACCCTGCTCCAGCACACTGATTTATCAACCATGTTGAGACATGAGGCTTGGGCATACTTTGAACTTCCTATCACTGTCGGATTTGTCGACCAATCACCTTTAACTCTTTCAGCCCTTGTCCTCATAAGCTCAGCAGGGAAGTAAGTTTTGCTACATATGCCTATACATTCTTGTACAGAGTCATAGCAGGAGGAATGCATTTTTGAATACTAACAACAATTCTGATGGCATGGCCCTCAACGGCTGCCTTTGTTAGGTATCACACAGGGCTTTATCATTTACATCCACCTTTTAGTCAAACCCCCTGTAACTAAGGGTATAGCAACAAGGAATGTTAACATCCCCACAATCTGTCTGAAGACTGTATGTATACAATTTATCATTTGTGTGGGAAGGATCTCGATCATTGTTTCCTATTGTATGTACAATTTCCCCCAGTTGGTGTCAACTATTTATTAATATCACTGCAAAGTTTCCCTTTAGGGCTTCTCCTTTACACCACTTAGATAAGTCCATTGCAGAGCATCTCTATACTTAAGCTGTCTCTGAAAAACCAAGCTACTAAATCAGCTCTTAATTCAGAGATGGCACCCCTATTCTTTCCATTCACAAGGATATCATGTGTATATGTCCGTGCAAATGCCTAAATTGCGGCATTTTTCGATGAGAAATTAACAGGAAGCCCTTTCTGGAATTTGTCCTTCACAAATTTTTACCCTGTCCTTGATAACACTTGCATATTTGCTTTATTTTTCTCAGACTTCAAAACTCTGTGGCTGTTCTCACAAACCTGGTCTGTAAGCAGGGGTGCCACCTAAATAATTAAGTATGTTCAGAAATTATTTTGCACTGTTCTAAATAATGCAGAGGAGTTCACCACGTGTTTGGGAAGCCTTTCTCCACTGAGGCACATTACTGCACATCTCTGAATTCTCAGGACCTTTGCCACTACCGGTCCTGAGGTTGGAAATATGAGAACATACTATAAATTGAAGAGATCACTATAAATACAAAAAAGCCCAAGTTTACATACAGCCATTCTGGCTACGAGGCCCTGCATTACAGACATTAATATACTTTGGACATTACAGATCTGCTACTCTGAGGAAAGAGCAGAGAACTAGCTCATTCCTACTCTACAAACTACAAAAAGTATCATAGTCAGGGACTTCGCAAGCTCCTTCCAATGCCTAAGATGGTGGAGTTACCAGGCCAGCAGTGAATTTCAAAGATGTGAATTGA